ATCCTCCAATGTGAAAAACAAGGTGCGTTTTCTTTTGGGCTTTCCCTGTGAGAATGTGCCAGCATGTGGGGAGGCTTGGGGTGGTTGTTTAATGCACGTGTTTATGCTTCAGGGGGCCTCTGGCAAATATATTTATATTTTGTTTTTTTTTTTTGGTCAGCAACAGTTAAGCGGAAAACTTTTTGAAGTTCTTATGGTTTTTCGACAGCATGAAGAGGGTGTAGGGTATCTGGTTTGTGTTCTGTTTGTGTGTGTCGACAGCCTCCTCCCTGTGTGCACTCTCTGTCTACTATCCCCCAAATTGTCTGTGCCCCTGTTCCACCAAACAATCTCTGTTTAGTTTCGCCAGCGTCTCCTGCTCCATGGATTATCCTCTATTGCTGCCACAGTGTTGCTTTGCTGAGTCGCTTTGTTATACTTACCCTTTGGTGAGGGAGTTTCTTAGGCAATAGAGAAAAGGAAGCTGCTTTGTTATTTTATCTGAGTAAGAATGTATACCTTCTGATTAGCATTCACAGCTAATTCAATTAACGAGACCATAATGTCTCACCATCTTTTGCATATTTCTAAAAATTTCTATGGAATACTTTGTTCTGATTTATGACCGGTATGTCATTTATATATAAATAATATAAATAAATATAAATACATATAAAACTCCGCATTTACAACGACTTTGCCCTCCAAAAAGCAATCCCTATCGGTTCTCTACATCCTTTTTAAAGGGCATCAAAAGCTTCGCATGCCTCAAGCTAAAATTGTGTACGCGCTTGAGGATAATTTTGTGCAATTCATTTCACTTAATGCGTAATTCATGTCGCTTATATGACCATGACCACGCCTCTCACACACCCGCCCTAACACCCCACTCTTAGCCCATGTTTCGACTCTGGAAACAGCCACTCTTAGCCGTCTCTTACCCTCCTTTTCGATTGCCTCTCTTTGGGCACCGCCTTTGTCCTGTTCTTTTCTGTCTGTCTGACATTTGTTTGCCAATTTTCATTGTTGCTGCTGCCTGCCGCTTGTCCCCTACTACGCTGCTGCCTTTGTTAGTGCGTTGAACCCGCTTGACTTTCTCCCCTGCAGCGCCCCGACTCTTAAGCAGCAGCTGCCACGCATTTTGGTGGCTCAAGTTCATTCTTATGGCTGCTGCGTTATTTTTGTGTGCGGAGTGCTGCAAGCTCCCAGACATGGCATCGTAATGCAACATTTTCATGGGACTCAGGAATTTTTACTACTTTTTCCAGCGAGTCATTGTATGGCTAAGGACGCTGCTTTCCTCTGCTTTTCCTATGTACATTTCCTTAAATTTTTTTCCATACTCTCTCGCTTGGATGAGCTTCGGTGAAGGAGCAAAATCAGGCTAAGGCCCCATGACAAAGGAAATGTTTTGCTTCCAGCAAAATTTAAAGGGAAATTGCATGAGAGGGATTCTAGAGGGTTCTATGGGAAATTTTGAGAAGATAAAGTTGATATTTTTGGGGCAGTGACAGACGATAGTAATCCGTTAAGGGCTAAGACCCATATAATTTGTGTGGCATGGCATTTCCGTTCGCTTTCATTCGACTTCCCTTTTAAATCGTATTTTGGCGTGTCTCTGCTTCTCTTTTCTACGTTTTCTGCTTTATTTCGCTTTCATTCTTCTCCTTTCTGCCTCCTTACTCCTTCTTTAAACCCTTTATTTCCTCATTTTTCTCTCTTGTTTCTTCCTTTGGGTTTCTACTTTGTTTTTGAGACACCTACAAAAGTCTACCTACAGCTACATATAGGCCCCGCTGCTCTGGTACTTTTAACATTTACAGATGCTCCTCTCTCTCTCCCTCTTGTGTATCCTTCAGATACGTGAGTGATTCAACATAATTATGTTTCGTCATCGAAGCAGAGAAGCAGATGAGGCATCAAACCAAGCCATGGAGAGGGGCAGGCACCACAATCCATTCCTTTGCTCCTCCCTTGCTCCCTTGTCCTCTTCTTAACCCACATTATAACGGTTATTTGTGCACGTATCCACGAAATAACATTAAAGCATTTCATGCGGCAAGTAAATTGCCCCCACGGATTGTTTCAGCGGTTACCAACAATTCGCTGTGCCCACAAATTGTTGAACAAAAGAGAGCGAGAGAGAGGGATAGTTTTTGCAGCTTTAAGTTGTCTATAATTTCGATATAGTAATTCGATCTATTTTGCAGCCGCCCAGCAGGCTACTAATTAATTGTCTTTCCAAAAAAATAGAAAAAATATTTCTGTAGATTTTGTTCAAAAGCAAAACCTTATTTTCCGAGTTTCGTTCTACACGCCCTTTAAAACTTATAGAGTTATATTTTTCAAATATTAAATCTGGACATTGTGAGAATTTATTTAAGCCTGTGACACAACGGAATTAAGTTCCCTTCTGGAGGTAAGCTAATGCACAAATGTCTCCCTTCTTTCAAGTGGCGCTGCCTCATGTGGCTTTCGTCCCCTTAAAGGGTACAGAAATCTGCATAATTCTTTAATTTTATTTGTTGGTGCAGGCTCTTAGCAAACTTTTCCGTTTTCGACACTAAAAAGTTGCCCCAAAACTCTCGACTAATTTGCATTTTTCCTCAAGTGTTATTAACTTAAGAACGATTGATGTGATCATATACTGCTCGAAATGTCGAGTGGTGGGGTGACTGTTAGAGGGAAGCTCTTTACGGGTGACTGCTGTGAGTAGTGGGAGACCCCAAAAGATTTAAGTGGCAGACTAATTTGCTTAAAATGAACTTACAACTTTTGACTTTTTGTGGGTAGAAAACCAGCAAGCTGAAAGGGTTAAGACGACTGCAACTCTGTTGGAGACAGCAAATAGCATTAAGAATGGCAGAAAGCAGTTCCTCTTGCTATAAATTAGTTTCTTTTGCGAATTTTATATTAATTTATTCCTTTTAAACGATTTTGTCCTTTAAGAGGAATGTAAATATTTCTTTATCCTACCAATGTGTAATTATAAAGGTACAGAGATTGATTGCAGTGACCTCGTTTCCCTTATAAATATTTTTGTAAAAATAATCACAGCATTTCAAAGATTTCTGCCAAGAGTGATGGGTTCGGGGGTCTCCTCCGCCGTGCTCTTCCATCATTATTTGCCTCCCTTCGATCACTCATCCAAAAGAGTGAAATATGATATAGCCTTCCGTTTAGCATCCAGACGGGCGACGCCCATTCATCAGAGGCGCCAACAGTAATCCAAGTCCTCGTTCCATCCATCCATCCATCCATCCATCCTCTGGCACTGATTTTATGAAGAGCGGCGATGTCACGTGACTTTTTTGGGGCAATAAAACAAAGCGTTTCTTAATTAAAAGCACCCAAAGCTCTGAAGGGCGAGCGTCAGCTTCGATACTAAAAGTGGGCAGTGGAGTGGAGTGTGTTGTGGGTTAAAGGGAAGTCATAAAAAGTCAGCAAGCGCAAAAAGTCATAAACAATAAAGGAACAAACAAAGAGCTAAAACGCTGGCAAATAGCGATTGAAATGTTGGCAAATAAAAAATAAATATACTTTGAGCAAAGCAAACCCCAAAAATCAAGCAAAAAATGTAGAAGAAAAGATTTGGTTTGGTTGGAACGAAGAATTTGATACACTGAAAGATCCATTGTCGCCAATGTTGAGTTGGTTTTTAGACTGTTTGATCATTTTCTGTCGAAAAAGAGTTTCAAGTCAAAAAAATGAACAGAGTATCGAAATTCCATGGAATGTTTTTGTTAAGTCTCTGCCCTGTGCAAAGCTTTAATGAAATCCATGATACCCCAGCCAAGTGTAGAGCTCAATCAGCAATACAAAGGGAAACTCTGAAAGAAGCTTGAGTTCCACTGAAAGGCACACGCAAACCCCACCCGCCACATCCACACATATAGTCACAGTTTTTAGCTCTCCCACTAACTAGAGTCCCCCCGCCTTTCTATTAACTAACTTCCCGTGGAATGCGCCTCCCTCTACGCTTTGTGAAATTTTTGCAAAAGTTTTTTATTAAAAGCTTGTTGCTGCCGCTGCTTCTGCCACTGCCACTGCCCCTGCTGGGGACTGTCTGGCAAATTAATTACTTAATTATGCTTTGTGTCTCGATCTTTTCTTTTTTTTTGAGGCACGTGCCACACAAGCGCCTCTACGTGACTTCATCATTTGTTGCAACACGAAAATGTATCTGTTGAGATATTTCGTGGAGTCGCCTATTAACATGCAATGATTTATGATTTTTGCCATGGAAAATTAACTTAAAATTTTCATTTTCTTTGCAGGTGAGTCACGAGTTTTGAAAACTCCAGCCAATTGTCTGCCAATTTACCAACTTGTCTGCGTTTTTGGGTGAGTTTTAAGCTTTAAGTACGAATTCGAGTACGTTTTTTATGAGCGGATAACAGAAACGTACTTACGTATGTACGTTCATTGGAAATCCATTGGCATTGCAAAGTCGTATAAATGTTTATGGTGCTGAAAAATAAAATGAAAATTTAAAGGAACATATTTGCCAGACAAACATGGGGTTGTCTTGCGATTGTCGGGGAGAGGGGTTGGGTTTCTAGCCGGCCATAAAATTTAGTTGCATTTTAAATAGAGGCGAAAGGTGACTTGCAAATATATAGGGTGTGCCTTAAAAACGGGTACTTGATGGAAGAGGTTCTAGCTTGGAGAGTTTCCTTATTAGACGGTCGTAAAGGGAAGAATATTTAATGTGAAGGGTGGAGAAGTTGCTTTAGAAGCTTAAAAGTTTTTAATTACTATATAAATGCCGGAATGGTTTGTACGTATCCTAAAAGAGAATTTATTACCAATTTCAAATATAATTCGTGGATTTTAAAGCATTGCCAGAGTCTCCCACATTCTATTATATTCTGACAAGGATGCATATGTGTATTTTCCTTTCTAGTCTTATTCTCTTTCTTCTTTTCATTCATATTACTCACTTTTTGCACTGGGCTCTATTATCTAAGAAAAATACTTGATTGAAGTACTTACCGTATTCAAAATAATTTTTCTATTTATCTCCATATTTCCACGATTTTTGCTTTGCATTCGTTTTACCTGGTCATCTGCATCCAATTTGAATGCAATCTCATCTTAAACTTTTCTTTTCTCCATCCATTAAACTTCGCCCATCATCGACAGTCATCGAGACGACTTCCATTCACTACCATCCCATCCCATGCCCAATCTTCAGTGCAATTTGAAGTGCAACAGCAGCCGCCTGCGCAAAAATAAATAAAACAACATAAACAAATAAGAGAGAATTCTGTGTGCAGTTTTGTGTTCTTCTGTTCCTATTTATTTTTTTTATCTCCTGGCGTATTCCTGCGCAATAAATATTTTTCGAAATGTGTATTGCTTGTGTCTATACATATTTAACCACTTTTATGTGAGATGAAGAATCGTCAGGGAGATGTTTGTATGTTTGTATGTTGTTTTCCAGTAGCAGTTGCTATTCAATTCCTAATGGCATTGAACCTGCACTCGAAACTGGGTTTTGGACTGATCTATTGGACTGGTTGTTGGTTGGGTGAAGCATACGTATGGTAGTAGTAGCCACATTGCCATTGCCATTTGGAGCAGATGAGAAACGGTTCATTAAGCAATTTTCTGTGGCATTTCCGCGCTAGCTTTTCATCATCATCATGATTGAGCTGGAAGTTGATCATGAGCGCAATTCTTGTGCATTGGCTTTGGTTTATAACGGCACCTGCATTGTGGCCATTGCATTCGTAGACTTTCCTTATTGGAATTGATCATCACCGCCGACTCTAGATTCTTGATTTCTTTTCGATTCGCTTCGGTCTCAGTCAGTCATTAAGGTCTGTGCAGATATGTGGAATTATAGGCAAATTAGTGTTAAGTTGGGGCGATACCTACATATTTGATGGATAGGTGTAAGAGTAGTACGCGTAGCACCTCAACAACATGTTTTTGCAATCTTTTTGATCACTTGAAAGATATCTTGAACATGCACCATTAATGGGTTAATTAGTGCAAATGAACAGCAGACGAAAAGAAACAAGTACAAATGGTGTGGCAGGCATTATGACTAGAAGGTTACCCAGTGCTTTACTATACGCTTAAGGGAACCATAAACTACCTGGTAGAAATATATGTACCTCTAAACATATTCCTTACCACACACATATACCCTTCAACTCCCCAAGCAATGTGGGTATCAACAACATTTGGCATTGAGTGGTTCCCTTATCTCCCACTCCACATCTCTGCCTCTCTTGCACTCTTGTGCTCTATGCCTCTCCTCGCTCGTACTCTTCTGAAGCATTGACAAACTTTTGCGCCCTTTCCCTTTTCAGCAATTGTCGTAACTGCTGTTGTTGTTGTGGCTGGCTTGCTGTTCTGTTTTGCTGCATTGCCAACACCCACACAAACACTCCTATGTACACATGCACACATGTACATGCTGGGGCTATCGGTGCACACGATCAGCGCCGATCGTTGTCGTCGTGCCACTACGGCGCTCGTCGGGCCGCCGCTCCACCACTTTCGGCGCTGCCAACTTCCTCCAACTCTGGCTCGAGTCAGTCTTTTGTTTGGGGCTGCTGCCATCGGTTCGAGCTTTTCGATTGGAGTGTGTTCTTGTTGTGTTTTTCCCTTGGCGAGTGGAGTTCTGTTCGGTTACGTTCCGTTCCGACTATAGTTTCCGATTGTTAGAGTGTCTCTCTGCAGTGGCAGTGATTGTTGGTTTTTATTATTTTTTTGAAAACAAGTTTTGCAATGCAATGCGTTTCCAATCTCCAACTGCGATTATTTCGTTTATTGTCATGGTTGATTTAACCGCAAAACTCAACAAACAATTGGATATCAAAACGGAGAAAACCATTGGAGTTGCTGGCAGCATTTTGTAAGTACATATTCGGCGGTACAAGTCGCAAAAGTTAGTGACAATTATCAAACTGTTAATCAGAGACGCGACTATCTTTGTGTGTGCAAGTGTTAATTTCTGTGTGAAAAGCTAATAGAGAGCAGACGAAGATCAACTTTAAAGACTTCTCCCTCCCACTCACACCTATGGGCGAGCTGCAGCAGCAGCAAGAGGAACGGTAAATTGAAAGCTCTAATTCGGCTACGTACGTATGTACGTACACTTGACCGACAAAGTGAGAGAGGAGATCAAGAGAACTAAGCCTCTGACCTGCTCTGTTTGTCACACACCACACACACTCGATCTTACTCTCCCTCTCTCCCACTCTCATTCTGTTTATCTGCAGCGACTCTCTTTGGGTCGGTCTGCTCTGGCTCTGCTTGTGTTTCGCAGTTATATTTATAGCTTGTCTGGTCTGTCGGCTTATCACAAGTTGTCGTTATTTTTAGTCCCCAGAAGCTACTTTAAATATAAATGGACACATTCTTCATGTGCGCTTTATTTGCAGTTTTATTGCACGAATTTGTTTTAATTTAATTGAATTCAATGCTCCGACAAAAGTCTAGCATTTCAAGCATTCCACGCACAGCATACGGGCACCGAGAGAGAGATAGTGGTGATAGAAAGACAGACAGAGAGGAAGAGCGAGAGTGTGTGCATACGAGCAAGAGAGATGAAAGCAGCAGGTGCTTTGGTTTCAAAGCTTCTTTTTGCTTTGTTGTTCTGCGGATTTTTTCTGTGGACTGGTGTGGTTCTAATACCCTTTTGAGTAGGGGGTATTATGATTTTGATCAGAGCTTTGCCATGCATGCAGCAAAACGCAGCGTCTGCCAAAGGAGCTGTTGAAACAATCATAACTGCAATCTGCACTCAAGGGGTATCAGAGAGTATCGAGGCTGCCTTCCTTTCTTGTTGTTCATCATGTTGCTGTTACGTTCTTGTGTGGTTGTACTTTTGTTGTTTTTTCGCCGTTGTTGTTGTTGTTGTTGAAGCATTGAGCCGTGCGTTTGTGAGACTCCGCCCTTTTGTTGGTTAGTTTATTGTTATTTAGACGTCGCTTTTGTTGCTGTTTCTACTGTATGTTGTTGTTGTTTTGCCTATTGTTGCTGTTGTTGGGGTCGTCATGGCAATGCCAACTTTCGAACTTTCAACTGCATTTAGTCATAGTCGATTGCAATTTCATTTTCGAAAGTTTCCCATTGATTTCCATGGCTTCCTCTTCTGATTAGAAAATGTTTTGGTTTCTAAAACCACTTTTACATGGCGGGCGGGTCTTTCGAACTAGTTTCTGCACATACTTGTGTTCCATTTGTTGGGTTCCTTTGATTGAAAAACATAAGGTATGAACTCACATTTCGCAGCATGATGCTTTAATGGAAAATGCAAAAAAAAATATAATTTAATCCAATAAAATATTTAACTTTAAAAATTGCATTTATTCTGATTTTCCATCAGATAGCAAAAATACATTTCCATGCAATTTTCATGACCACATTATTGTGCATTTTTCCTAAATTGCAAATCAAATTCTCCACAACAATTTTTGGAGCCGACCCCACAATGGCCTCTCAGCTCATTGTGGGTGTAGGTTCATTAGAATTTATGTGCTTCATTACAAAAATTGTTAAATTTGTTGTTGGCTGCTGTGGTGGTTTCACTGTGTGGTGGCTTTTTCGGGTGACTTTCAACAGTAATTTGTGTGGCACCCAAGCGCGTTAATTGTACAACATCTGCCACTCGCAGAGGCAGAGCGCAGAGCTAGACGCCGCAGACTATTGTGCAGCCATCAGCAAAATGCCATTAAATTTTACTAACTCTTTTTCTATCGTAGCTTGTATCTGTAGCTGTAGCTGTGTGTGTAAATTGTATCTGTTGGCAACTTTCTGTATCTGTTAGTACATTTTTCTGAAACGCACTGCTGCGCAGCTTTATTATTCCCCACAGCCAAGCCAATATTTAACCGAAATACATTTAATTTCCATTTTTATTGAATATCCGTAATTGGAAAAAATCTTCCTGGAAACAGTTTTCCCCTTAGAAAGTACCACAATCATGCATGTACATGTACAATATATGTGACCTTTTTGCCATGGCCAAAACTGAGAGTTTCATGGAACAAATGCAGACAGAAAAGGTCAACTGCCGGTCTTGACTTTCCAGAGTAGAGTTCTTTTATACATAATCTCCATTTCCCCCAAGAAAAAGCAACCACGAGAAGAACCTTCAAGGCAAACTTCCACTGACTCCCCCAACAGCGGCATAATCTGTATCCCATTGCCACGACTACGTTTTAGCCTTGCCCACCCACCGTCTCTCCGCGCTCGACTTCTTTGCTTTTATGACAAACAAAAATGTATTCATTTTTATTACTGTTTTTGTGCTTATGCTTAATAAATCTCTGTCTCCATCTCTCTTTCGCTCTTTCTCTCTCTCTATGGCTTTTCGCCACTTAATTGTGGCATTTTCCTCAAGTAAAAGTTGAGCATTTTCCTGGTGTTTGGGGAGAATGATTCATAGAATGGAAATTTGTGTATGACAACGATACGTATGAGTAATGCCGCCCCCTCAGCAGGATCCAGCAGAGGGAGCACACAGATTGACACGCAGTTAACGGCTTAACTCTGCTTGTAATGCTACTTTCATTGATTAATTTTCGAACTGGCATTAAATTTTAAAGGGGCTTTCTTTATCCGCTTAAACTCGATCGATATATCCGTAAATAGCATTTCCAACAAAACGCGCGACTTTTCAACGTCAATGGGGAACATGGTGAATGGCCGCTGGGGGGAGGCTTTTGTTGTCGCGTCGTGTGAGTGTAGTGTCTCTTCCTTCCGCTGGAGGCTTCCTTCCTTCCTTACTTTACTTCCCGTCGAGCAGCGTAGAATGGGGATACCCACTCGCTGATGATTGTAACAAATGTCAGGGGCTGCCTGCCTGCGTCAATGGTATGGATCTCTCTCTCTCTCTCTCTCTCCGCTGTCATGTGTCCTGAGTCTCCTGTTGTTTGAATGCGGCATGAGTGTGGGGCTCTGTGCCATACGATAAATGTGCCATAAGCACTTAAGGCCTATTGTGGATTGATGGAGCAGAGCAGTGGCAGTAGCAGAAGGGATCCCCGGGTGCCAGGTGATGGAACTCCCAAATGCCAAAAACCAACACAAAACACAACATTTTGTTGACAGTTTTCCAAGCGGGGGAGGGGGAGCGTGCAGAGGCTAGTTGCCACTGGTTGGGTGCACTCATCCACGACTTTTGTGTTATTCGATGGATACTTTCCCGCTTGGGTTGCTTTCGGTTGCTCTTTGTGGTAGCGGTCGGCCTTCATAGATACAATATTTTTGACAGTGATTGCCAGAGAAAGGAACCAGAGAAGGGCTGGAAGAGCTGTAGGCATGTCCAAGGGTTGTTAATGAGCTTTGGGGCGGCTTGACAGCTGGCTGACTGAATGAATGCCAATGGGATTATAAATTGATGGAATGATGATTTGCCTGATGACGTTCCATGATGATGGATTGACTGAAAGCCCACAAAAATGGTTTAAAAATTAAGTGAGAATCAGCATTAAATGGCATTCTGGATTTCTGTAGTCCGTCGGCTGGGTTTATTTAACTTTGAAAGTTTCATCCAAATAATGTCGCAATATTTTACAATTTCTGTTGGCCTATGGCTAGAGTTTGTACTGCCGGACTCTGAATCTCTTGGGCTCTCAGGCACTTAGCCGTAATTGAATTCCATAGTTACTGCGCTTCTGTCCAGAACCAAAACTATTTGGCACAGTGACTTCCGTCGCTCCATCACCACCGCCACTGCAGTGGCGAGGCAAAGGCAAAGGCAAAGCACAGCTGGGCAGAGAGATTGTATGAGCGCTGTGTGGTAGATTCTCCCAACCCCCC